GCAGTCAGACTTCCAAGGAAATGTCAAAATACTCAAAGGAAGTGAAGCGCTAACAAATCGAAGTAAATAATTAAATAACACATCTGTAATTAAGAATTGATTTTATGTTTAGTATCTGGGCCATATTTCTGCTTCAGTCGACATGCTATATTTGTTGTTGAGATTGTTCCTCTGGGAGCTGGTGCAGCAGTGAACAAACCAGATGAGTAAAAGACAACTGAGGTGAAAACAAGGGTGGAACACCTGGACCAAAGCGCTGAGATGTAACACATCATTCAAATGTAAAACCTGGGCCGTCTTTCAGGATTATGCAAAGATAAGAGAACAGTTTGAAAAAAATAAAATAAAATCATGGTGAAAAAAACAAAACACAATAAAAACAAATGCAAAAAAATTGTTAAAAAGCAGCATTACACAGACTCAAAACTCATTTCATTTAGCAAAAATACAAGATGAGTATTGCTGCACTAAGCCTCTATTTACCGTTCTGTGTATTGTTTTTACCAACGTTACTCCAATGTGCACCAATATTTAAAGTTGCAGCATTTCAGCTTTATGTCTAGAGGTCAAATGACAGATTAAACTTAAAATCCATCCCCTTTATGTGTAACACATGTGCTTCTCTGCAGGCACTATTATCCACTCCTGCTTCCCCAGCAGTAAAGTCACATGTGGGGATTTATTAGCTAGTTATAACCAAACTCCTGCTAAGCTGGCTTATTGTGGTGTTGCCGATAGCACAAGATATTTTATGGGGGCTTCCATAAATCATGCTGAAAGCAAACATACAATGTTGGAGGTGGAGATTGAAGAGGCGGGTGGAAGGCATGGGATGGTCAGCAAGCAATGAGGAAAAATATGCTCTGCTTAAAAAGCCATTTGTCTCTAATGCAACACCCCAGCGTGAAATGAGTTTGATGGGTGAGAAAATAAAAAAAATACTGAGCAAACACTTCTGAGAAATGTGGATGACCTTAAGGTTGCAGCTGATTTAACAGAAATGATTAGCCTTGGGTGAGGATGTATTTTTGTTCTTACACTTAAGTGATTAAAGTAACTTCCATATCTTCTTCTAATTTGCTTTTAAATGAATAAAATATAAAATTTAAAGGAAAATTCTAGTCAGAAAGGAATGATCAATGGATCATTATCTATACCTAAAACTAGCATGTTCGCGGTGATTTAATGAATTTAGCATTAAACAGTAAAAAAATAAAAATAATCTTTTTTGTTCGCGATCACTGAGTCTGAGAACGGCTAATTTTGCCCAAATATAGCAACACCACTGTTCGTTAGAGCTATAGTTAAACTGACAATGCCCACATGCATAGCAGGTAATACATCAGGTAAAAGTGAAGAAGGAATTAGGTATTTCACCTTTCCAATTCCTGATCCTCCACAGACGGTTTAGAAAAACAACGTAATATGTAGCCAACATTTAGAAAAATAATGTTTTAAAGATGACTTGTATAATAGCGCATTGTGACAGACACCAGATACAGCACTGGGACTTAATCAACAGCCAATACAGCACTGTGACGTCACAAACCATGTTTTGAAATGATACTCATAATTAAAAACACTTACCATTGAACAGTATTTAATAATGTCACGTTTAAAGTACGTTCAGAAGTTTGAATTCTGAATATGACCAGACTTTTCCTTTAGCTCTTGTTGCCAAGCTTTACAAACTGAAATTATTCAAATAACACGATCAAAACATCCTAATACCCTTTAAAGGAGAGATTTCACACATCCTGTATTTAAACTGGTACCTTTAAGTCTAAATATGATGCCTGAATGAATCTTCTCATATAATTGTCCACAAGTGTCTTATCAGCTGGGTTTTAAAGATAAAATGAGATACTTAATCCTACAGCCAGAAACGCGGAGATATTCTAAATTGGTCTGTTCGCACTAATCATCTAAATGTGTGAAGAGCGTATTTATTATAAAATATTGCAAAGTGAGCTTAGAGCAGCTTTAAATAAAGTGTTACAAACAGAACATGTTCTCTAACAATACAAAACAAACACTGATCATTCAACATATCTTGTGTACAACTAAGCTAGTATATTGAAATCACATTGCAGTTTCAATTTTCAAGAGTAATTTGAACTGGTGTGGCTCACAGGTTAAATAGTCACAGTTAAATAACTTAAACTTTAAAGAGCATTTTGTGAGTAATGAGGCCAATGTTTGATCAAGGAAGATGTAGGAGTCTGATTTTATTAACAGTAAAGTATAGAAGCTGATTGATTATTGCCAATAGAAAATAAAGGTTAATATTCAGTTATCAAGTGCTGGAAATCCATTTTGGGTTTTCTATTGTATTGAATATTCATCTTTCTACAAATGATGATGCATTAAGTAACTTTGACGAATGGGAGAATATCCAAAACAAGAACTTGTGTACAATACCAGTTTAATTCCTGTTTCTCTAAATCAAACATGGTTGAAATTACAAATATGGGCTCAAATATAAGCAATACACCAATACTAATATATTATTACGTGCCTCTCTGCAAACTTCACTTTGATTGAATTATTTTTCTTGCCACTGCATTCCACCAGGCATCGTTCTGTGTGGATATCTGGCCACTGTGCAGGACACAATTTAGGTAGTTGAGGTTGAATCTCAGGCACAGACATGGTATTAAAACAGAATCCACAAATTCTAATGTGTATTTTCCTGCCACCAATATCAATTCCTTCCAATAGCCCAGCAATTAACTCAAGGCCTCTTTTTTGAGGCTTCATGCCATGAATCGTCCAGTTCATGGCATACAGTTCATTTTCATCCCAAAAAACAAAAACCTAAAATAAATTCAAATTTGTGAGCCATATATTTATTGTATCATTATTATTAGTTCAACATAAAAAAAGAGTTAACATGCATTTTTATTTGGAAGCCCAAAGTGAATATAAGATCCATGTTAGTGGGAAGTGTGTGTGTTATTTTCTCTAGGAATGAGCACAGTTGTTCAAAAAAACAACTTTTTTTTATTAGTGGTGAATGCAGTATGATTAAGGGTTTAAGTTTTGGTAAAATAAAAGAGGGATACCTGCCTGCCTCCCTGCCTGCCATCCTGCCTGTTTGTCTGTCTCAAGGTTATTAAAGGATTAGAAAGTTATATTTTCTGTGAGTTCCTAAGAGAATATAACTTTGAGCAGCAATAACATATGCAAAAAAGCACAAAAAAAATATATAAAACTTTGTTTTGGAACATTTCTCCAGGGGAGGCTCTGGTGTGAAAAATGTTTTAGGAAATAATCAAACAAACAAAACTGAACACATTATAGTTAGAAAAACAGCAATTGAGTATATAAGGATACAGCTTGAGGCAAACTACACCAAGTTCTCTTTTTCCTACAGTTTCCCCTTCACTGGAGAAAGAGGAGAGTCTTTCCTCGTTATCATCTCCTCCACACTCACACTTTAATATAAGGAGAACCAGAGCTGCTATAGAGTGTCAGAATAGAGGAGAGAGTGAAATAGTTTTAATTCTAAAAATACCTCAAACAGCAGAAAACCATACAGCCGATAATTAGGGATCGAATAGGTGTGAAAGAGAAGTGTTAAAGCAATTAAAATAAGAGATTAGAGCTGGATTTGTTGACTGATTTTTTTTCATTGTTTTTATTCTTTGAACATGTTAATTGTAGATTTCAGCAGTATATTTCACAGGGAAAAAAAAGGTTACAACACCACCCGAACTGACAGACACTTTTATGTAACAAGCAACAAAGGAACAGAGCTTGCATTTGATGCATCATTGATAATAACACATGTGCTGAATATGAATTTAGGATTCATTCAGCAGCTCCCTTCTCGCTGTCCTTGAACTATTTTTTAGAGTCTCTTTAAAAATTCTTTTTGGTTGAGTATGAGCCTTAAGATGGTCTCTATCCTGACTGCTACACATGTCTTTAATGCTATGCTGTAGGATGCATATTTGAAATGTGCTCGTGAACCTAAAGAAATACATGTGTATGATGGAATTTAGACACAAATCAAATACCTTTTTTTCAGGCACCTCTTCAATCTATAGCATGATGGGTTTATGGGTCTGGCTGAGCAGATAGTCTCAGTGAAAATCAATACCGCCTACAGATGGTTTCATGTACTATTCAGCAATAGCACAAGAATCAGTAATCTATGCTTATACTGACTGTGGGCAAAAGAGGGAGGTGGAGAGAAAATGCAAGTACAGTAAATAAAGCGTAAAGTGAACAAAATTGAGATGTTTTTCAACAAAAAATGTATGAATTGGTAGTTCCTATTTTTTATTATTGTTTTTTTTATGTATTTTGTAATGAAAAGTTCTGACTTTAGCAAAAAAAAAAAAAAAAAAAAAATTGATCCACAGTTGATGATCATGTATTTTTTGTTTAGGTTTGTGACTTCATAGAGCCAAAGAAAAAAACATGCAATAAATGAAATCCTTAACTGAGCTCTACAAAAATTATGTTGTTTATCTTACCTTAAGATTTCTTAAGAAAACGTGTCGATGTAAACTACTTTAAAGATGTTCCTACTATTGCACTGAGCCCGCGTTACATTCATACAGTCATTATCAGACCTCACTGAAAAACAAGATATAAGTCAATAGTGTTTGTCTTTGGGAAACTAAAGTAGAATAAGTAATAAAAAAAATATTTAAAGCAGTTTTGTGACTAAGATTGAAACTTTGCTTAATGATGAATCCTTAGAGGGTTCCCTTTAGAATATATATAGAAAAGCACTTACAAGGAAAAAAAAATATTAAACAATAAACACCCTTAACTCTTAGAAGTTATATTATAAATATTTGTAACAAATATAATATTATACAAGTGGGATCTATTTCTGCCGGAGCAAAATCTGCTAGATGTTAAAGAGCATGTCCAAACAATACAGGTTTTTGTGCAGCCAGAAAATTAATGACCAACTTTAAATGCATTCTTTTTATTTGTTAATTAAGTAGGTTATATGCTACTGATTGAACTGTTTAACTCACTTCCGGAAGGTTGGTATGGACCCCTGCAGCGACCGGCCGGGAGAGGTGCCTGATCCGTGGCTCTGTCCTGAAAGTAAGCTGTCTGTTTCAAAGGCAAACATCCCATCCCGGTCATCAGGAACATCCAGATACTCTCCATCACTCCACATTCCTACTGTGCCGTCCATCGACTGATATCGGATATCGATAGTGACATTGGTCTGAAAATGAAGGGAGAGAAACAATTAGACTAAATGATGACATGCTGTTAAGCTTAAAGCAGAAATATGGTCTATAATTTTATGAATAATCTGTAATGTGTCTTTTTGGTGACCGACTGATTAAGTAGATTGAAAAATGTGACTGCTTTGAACGCTTTGGATTGAGGACAACAAATCATCCAAAGCTTGACTGTTCTGTGGCTTCTTCCTTATTTTATTTATATTTGCCCAAAACCAACTTCCTGGTTTTTTTTTTTTTTTTATGATGATTACCTTTCTGATTAGAACATTGATTCTTTACTGTTATTTATAACGATCTGCTATGGTAGAAAATTATTGGTATTTTCATATCTTGATATGACATTTACCCATTTTTCCTGCAAAAGTTGCTAAAATCATATCATATTGTGGTGATATTTGTTATTCACAGTCCTCTTAGGTGGTCACAGGTTTACATCTGAACTCCGTGTCATTGCAAAAATAAAATGTTCTTCTCATGATGTCTTCAGGCACATGCTGACACTGCACTGCATTGGCTCACTACTTCCAATACAAACTATTAAATTAAACAATCAAGTCTCAAAAGAAGTCAGTTTTATGTCACTACTAATTCAAATGCCCTATCATCGGAAGAAGTTTTACAAATACATGAACAATATTATGTTATATTATGTATGTATATAGATAGCATTATAAAATGAAGTATTGTAAATATGGATGCAATCTCATCAAGTTGAAGAAGAAAAAAAAAATCCTCCTTTAAGTCATTTACTTCAAATGATCAGATATGTCTTTTTATGTTTTTTTTTTTTTTTTTTAAAATATGATAGATAATTGTTTAAACTTAAATTAATTCTTGCTTATTCATATTTTCTTTGCTTTAGACAAACAGCACTTTGGACATATTTTCTTCTAGTTTTAGAGCTGCTAGCATTCCTGCAAACTCTCTAACATACAGTAAAAATGAGATATAAGGCTTATACTGCAGAGAATATCCAAAGTTGGTAATACATTTGAATTCTCAATAAGGGATCCAGCTATATACTGTTGTATTAACAATGTCTTAATATTGGCAACCAAGTTGGCATTGCAATAAATCTTTTCCCCTTGTTTGCAATAAAAACTCTGACTGATGCTTTAATACAGGCATGAAACATAGATGACCCCCGCAGTTTGTCTTTGGCGTGCTCTTGGGTGACATGTTTGGCCACATACTATCCTCTTGACAGTGACCTAAACTTTATAGCAGACCGTCCAATTTATTTAACCGACAAAGACAAATGAGGGGAAACATATAGGAGAAACTCCCTGCCTTTCCTCTATCCTGCTCTGCTTCATGGCCTTTTTCTTACAACATCCTCACCAGGCAATCTTTGTGGTCCAACAGGAGTTAGAGTTGTTGCTATGGCAACAACACTAGTAGTGCTCCCAGGTAATGTCAGGTTTAGTGTTACCACTCTCTTGCTTCATGGATGCTCAGCAGTGAAATTCTCCTCACAGTGTTTGTGTGTTCAGAGAAACCCTAATGAACACACTGCATGGGTGTGAATATGAGCTTGCATGAACACCCAGGAGCGCCCTCATGCAGCGTTTCATCATCTCAGCAACAACCCACTAGAACTCCGCACTCCTCCAACATAGTCCAGCACACTGCAGTGGTTTTGGATTTTATACAGTGTTTGTTTCGCTCATTACATTCTATAACATTATCCACCCATACATATACACTCTTACATTATATATTCTTAAACCACACATTTCTCTTCACCACTAAGCTACATACTCTATGCATTATTTAAAATCAATAGAATATATGGATCAAAGTTGATGTTAAGCTTCTGAGTTTGCTGATACTGGTTTAAGAGTGCAGCATATATCAGAGTCTTTACCATTTCAATGACACAATAAAATAAAATCAGATTTAATTTCTCTACTTTAGGTTTCATATGAGGTTTTCCTCCTTGCTTTGCAAGCCCATTGTTCAAATAAAATTTGAATCAATTAAATAAATAAACAAATACACAATGTCATATGATCTATTTTAAATGAGGAGTTTCAATCTTTTCATGCCTAACAAATTATATCTATCCCCCTTGAACATGTTCATATTTTATTATGTTACAACAACAAACTCATTGTGTTGAAAAATCAATATTTTTTTGTGATTGAAAAAAATTCCAGATGGATTATGGAAAATTTTTAATATAATGGCTAACTTTGAGTTTTTCAGGTTGGAAAGATTATACAATTTTTAAGTTCAATGTGGTAGCTTTTTTTTTTTCCAAAAAAACAAGCAGAGTTGTGTTCTTTAAACAGAATTTTGCAAATGCTCAAATGTATAGGAACTTCTCTAACATGTCTAAAATCTGTTTTGATTTTAGACTTGTTTTATTTGGCATATTTGCCCTGTGTCAACGTTTCAACCAGCTGGAAATTGAGGTGAGGTAGAAGAATTGGATTCTGATACGAATGTCATGCATCAATATCAGTCAAACAAACAAACAGCATAATGCTAGTAGCACCATGCTTAGCAGTTATTATGGTGTTCTTTGAAATATAAACCTTAATCCTAACTACATTTCATTAAACTAAAGTTAAATAATTTAATATTTTTTCTCATATGATCAATAATGTTTCACCAGGATGCAATTGGTATGTGCATGTAGGAAGGAGCAAGTGTTGGAGGCGCTTCTTTCTTGCTTAGCTGTTTGTAGGTAGGAGTATGTTTGAGAAAATCTATGCAAATTTTAAAAAGCACACATTTTTCCAGTTTTAATTGGGATTGTAAGTTACAGTAGATGCCTCTCTTTAAAAGCTGTAATTGATATAATATTCATGGCCGTGATGTGTATGATTACTATATTAAATAAAACCAGAGTAACTGAAAAGGATGTTTTAATGACCGAAGGAGGAATAAATATGCACTGTACCAACGCACTGTACAAGAAGAAAGCTAACATAATACAGAAACCTTTAGAATATAGTAGCTCAAACACCCTTAACTGAAAGATCTTACCTTTATTGATGTGTTGTTGTCATCAATCAGGGTATCTGTCAGCTCTACATGTCCCTCTTCAGCCACTTTCTGGAGCACCATACAGAAAGTCCCTACCAGTCTGCAGAAACAAAAAAAAGTCACAAAATGTAAAACAATTAAAGTAATATATTATGACATGTTGGGTTTTATTTTATTCTTTTGATCTATGCAGCCCATCTGTTCACCCGTATAGGCTCTCTGAGTCATTGCAATATCACTCCTGCCTTTTCACTTACAGTAATAAAAACATGGCTAATTGTATTTCCTCCGGCTTGCTCACCAGAGGCATCTGTTCTCCACTGTGTTTCCTTTCTCACAGCATGGAGGTGAATGTGTCATGAACAGAGGCTGCTATGGTGAGATGAGAAACACTGAAAAAGGGCCATGCTGTCACCAGCTCACACATAAAATCTGAAACGCAACAACGTTCAAACACAACCCAACCTCTCCGAGGTGAAGGGTTGTTTCATTTGCCAACATTTTGACAGTACTATAAGCTTGTATATTTACATGTCAAATTTGGATAAAATACATATTGTTAAAAAAAATTCCAGCTATGGTTTTTGTAACCGTCTGTGTCAGAGGACCAAAAATGTAAAATATTATAAAAAAAACAGGTGAATTTGATACTATAGATCTCTGTTGTGTTTTGAGAAGCATCGATCACATTGAAGTCATCCAATGCCAAAGACAATTTAGGTAGATCATACTGTAGGTAGAGAACCTGAATTATATCCAAAACGATGTTATCTTCTGAACTGAACTTTTTGACAGAGTGATACACAGAAAATTTAATATTAATTTCTTCTAAAATCCTATACTGGAAACAAATCCAATAATAAATGCATTAACAGAAAAATAGATACATATTTATGTTTTTCTTGGTTTTTAAAGATAAAAGGGTATTCATTGAGATAATTTTTCACCTGTAAAATGCCTGTAAAAGTCATTTTGACATCAAGATGCAGGACTTCAAAGTCTGTTTTATGATGCAGGGAAGGGCCATCTGACATAAGAGATCTTTGGTCTCTTCAGCATGATAATAACGGTCTCGCCTTATTACAGATAATAATGGATGTGTTGAAACACCAATTCTGATTGTTTTTATCAGGTTTCACCTCATCCTTAAGATTCTTTAAGGATTATTTTATTCAGCTGTGTGTCCTCAAAAGCAAACAATTTAACCAGACCCATGACTTCAAATTGTGTCTTACATAGTGTCTGAAAAAAATCTATAAAAATTAAAACAAACAATGATGTAAGGAGTCTTAATAGTTAACATTTTAAATAATATGAGAACGACTTAGTGCCTTCCAACAAATATGTATATATCCTAAATCACTTTATATTTTGTCACAATAAAATTAAACCTCAATTTCATTCTAACTTAGAAATTTACTTAGATCTGGAGCATGGCTGTCTTACTCCAGTCTCTAAAGCTGGTGTCCATCTTCTCGATATTTCCCTTCCTGACATAGCATATTCAAAAGGCTGGATGATATAGTTCTTCAGTGGCCGGGTATTATTATTTAAATTAAGGTGTGAAACAAAGAAACAGCTAAAACATGCAGCATATAACTGGTAATGTTCATCACTGATCTAAACTATATACTGTACCACTGGTCACATGTTTAGCCTTATTATCCTGCTGGAAGTTGAAGTTCCACCTCAACCTGAAGTCTAAAGGAGTCTCTAACAGGATGTACTCCTGTGCTATCTTTAGCTCAGTCCACATTTCCATTGACTCTGCCCCTGCAGATGAAAAACAGTACCACAAGACAAGGCTACCATCATCATGTTTTATGGTGGAGATGGTACATTATATTCACAGTAATACACTGCTAGTTCCAGCCACAATGGTTTACTGTACAAGGAGCCGAAGATTTGTTTTTTCATTTTGTCATCTGACAAAAAAGCCCTTTTTTCACATATTTGCTGTCTCCTTTACATGGCATTTTAAATATTTTTCCTTCAAAAAGTCTTTCTTTTAGATCTACAGCTCCTCCAGATGAACCATGAGCATGTTGGCTTCTCCTTTTCTCTACCTGCTTAAGTAAGAATATAGCCAAGTCTCTTAAGGATTGCAGCGTTACCAAAGAGTACTCTCTATTTTGAAATGATGGATTTAGTGGTGCGGTGGTTTCTCTAGAGCTAAACTGTGTCTTAAAACTTGTCTGCTAAATTTCCATTTGGTCTTATTTACTGTTATCTGCCCTTTAGGCATTGAAGAGATGTTTAATTGTTGAGACAAGATTTTTAAGTTTCTATATAATGCTTTTATTTTAGCCTCTTAAAGTCCCATTGTGCTCGATTTAGACAAATGAATAGCATTAAAAAATATATTTTCAAAGAAGTTGATTTTCATGATATATGCTCTTTAAAAATGAACACTTTTGCAGGTAGTGCATTGTAAAATTTTAATCAGATTACTGACAATTAGCAGGGTAAATAAATATTTTGTGAAAATACTGACTATGTTCTTCTCTTTAAAATGTATGCAAATGCATAAAGCAATAAAAATAATTTGATAAAATACTGAATGCAGGCCACTGCTACCCAAGGACTCTTCACTGCTCCATGAGATTGGGAGAAACTCTGTACAGGCCCATTCAAGCATCCAATTAGAGCTGGTGAATAATTTAAAGAGTTTACTTCATAACAGTGCATTGTTGGCAGAGCAATGAGTCACAGAAAAAAGTAGCAAAGCCACAATATAGGTCATTTCCTATATGACATTTGTTAACACCCATGTCACGGTTTTCATAGCACTTAAACAACAATAAAATGGCTCAACAAAGCAATCATTACGAGCAAACACCACAGGCGTTTAGTAGGCAGCTTACAGAGAAATGTTATTTTTCAACAAAGCTATTCATCCACTACCCAAACATACATGTACACTTATAATCTGCTGTGTTATCTTGGTGAAACGTGTGCTGTAACAGCATCATACCATCTGACATCTAGGCGAGAGTAACAAAAGCATACACTAACATCTGTAATTGAATATGAAAAACATAAAATACTTTCTAATTACTTTATAAGGAAAGACTAACACAACCAAGATAGGCATCCTATTATCAGAGGGTAAATAAGGCTGTTATTATTCCCTGTCCTCTCCCTGCATTAATCCCTCTCTACCCGGCTGTTGTTCAAAGCCCTTCTATGTCGTGGCTATGAATTCAATATAAAGTCTAACGAGAATAACCAAAAGCTCAGAAGGCAATGATGAGCTACATTTTATTTTCATACTAGGATTCCCTTTAGGTCAGAGTTTTTTTTTTTTGTTTTTTTTTTGTAAAGGGATTCCCCTTAGGTGCAGGCAGGTGAGTTACTGTCAGACTCCCCAATGCATACATTTCCAGGGATGGCTGATGTCACTAAAGGTAAAGTTGTGGAAGATACTAATAGCTTTGGGGAGAAAAGTTTTTCTTTAAGTTCAACTTTGATCCCTATCAAAGTGAGTGCAAACCCACCGCTGTTTAAACAACCACCTCCCTCATCAGACAGGACTAATCAATACATTCGGGTCTCCACTGTCATTTCCTTTCAAGCATTGTGACCAGTGTACAAGTGGTGAATAATTGAATTGAGTGGAGCCTATCATGTTCTCCCTCACTTTTTACCATTTCAAAAGGTCCTATTCATTATTGACTAACAATTTACTTTCCTCTTCTCTATTCAGAATTTCAAAGCCCATCTTTCTATTTTGTATCTTATTTTTTTGTGATTATGGTATATTTTCTAAACAAACCACAACATTCTAAAGCAAGGACCCTGATAAGAACTACTTTACAAGTGACATGATAATGAAATTTATTTTAAAACCAAGTGAAGAAACAATCACATTTTACATTTAATGTTCAAAGATACATCTATTGGATGACAAGGCAAACAATAAATTAGAAAATATAGTTGTTATGACAAAAAGGTTTATTAGACAGTTTTTGATGGGTAAATTCCCCAAAATCTGTTTTCCAGATTCCCCTGGTTCAGCCGTTTTTACTGCTGTGATGCCTGCAGGCAGAGTGCTGCTCTAACTTAGAAAGAGCCAAGTAGCATCACAGCAAAGATTCAAAAGAAACATGGGAAAAAAATGGTGTGACCCAGATTTTTTTTCATTCAATTCCTTTTAATAGGGGGTTCTTTTTAAAGCCATCTAACAGAAGAACATTAAAGAAGTTTTAGCACTGATGCCCCATACTGCTTTCATAGCTTTCATTATGTAGTGGAATTTCCTTATTACAGTAAATCTCTCTTTATTAGAATAAATCTAAAACATCAGTTATAATCAATTCAATTAAAATGATCTCAGAATAGAAGCATATAAAAGATTGCTTGCAGAATATTTTTTGATCATACATCATCCTATTTGAATAGACTTAGACTTAAACTTTATTGTCATTTTGTATGCACAGAGCGTATTCAAAATGACAATTCTATGCAAATAGCTTACAACAGTGAAATGAGATTGAGGTTGGAATAAGATAACATTAAAATATCAAGTGCAGCAGTGATCAGAATGTGACAATTATAGGAGAAAAAAACAGCTTAAAATAGTATCGCAAAAAGGCATTTATATGAAAAAGTTCAGTGTAGTGCAAAATAATATGGTGCAAATGCAGTAGAACGTTATATATATATATATATATATATATATATATATATATATATATATATATATATATATACCACTAACCACTAACTCTGTCTTTGTGCAAGGGGGAACTGGAGGAGCACTTCCAGAGGCCTACAAAATGACCTCCAGCGGACCACAAATGTGTATGTGTTTGCACAAAGGTTTAGCAACTGACTCGATCAGGATAGTGTGAGGGCCTAACGTCCCTATATGACTTGGCAGTCATATAGGGAGGTCATACAGGTATGTGGATGTCATACACAACACTGAACCTCATTTTGACCTGTTTTAAGGACATTACATCAAAGTTGGATCAGAGTTGGATTCATTTTGTGTGTGATTCCAAATTCAGGTCTCCACTGTTTAATACATTTTAATATTTAGTGTGATCTTGTGGTCAGCACATGCAAATTTGTAGAGAATAAAATATTCAATGAGAA